CCCTGGTTGCAACCTACCTCCTACCAGCAATTTGCATTTTATAATTACATTAAATGATTTTTATTCTCAACGGATATTGTCATTTTTTCAAAAGAGAGTATTTTTAAATTAAATTGTACTATAAAAAATAATTTAATTTATTAATTTATTAAAATATTTTTAATAAAATTTTTATATTATTTCATTAATAATATTTTAATGATTTTATCACTAAAACAGTTGATTTGAAAAATATAATTTTTTAAATAAACGACAGTTTTAGTTAGGACGCCACACGTCCTTGCTTAGCAATAGGTTGAAATTTAAAAAATATAAAAATAAAAACTATGCCATTGGCATGTTTGCTAGAGGAGACAAACCATGCTCCGTGGACGTGGAAGTCTGTGGCTCTTGACCCGTGAAATCGTGGTCTTGTGAACTGCACCAACCTTGCAAGTCAATCTCATTTCTCAGTTCTCTCGAAATTCAGTTTCTTTTTCTTGTTTCTGGTTATTGGTCTGATGGGGAAGAAACAACACGTGGATGCTGGCAGTGGAAGAGACCCCCTTCTGGACAAGGAGGTTTGCTTGTTTCCTTTCTATTTTCCTCTTAATTTCTAGCTAGTTCTGTTTTATTTTTTGTTTGGATTCTGGTTCTTTTGGGTTGGTTTCAGGATAGTTCATCTTCACTTTGTTCTGTTTTTGAAAGTATTCATTTGGGTCAGGTTCAGTTTTTGTTGACTGATTGTGTTCTTCTCTGGGTATTTCTTAAAGCACTTCAATTTTAACATCTGATTGTGCTACTCTGCGAATTTAGCTTGTTTCTGGGTCTTGGTCAACCTGGGGTAAAGTTTATAATCATGGTTTCTTTCTGATTGTGCTACTATGCGACTTTAGCTTGTTTCTGGGTCTTGGTCAACCTGGAGTAAAGTTTATAATCATGGTTTCTTTCTGATTGTGCTACTATGCGAATTTAGCTTGTTTCTGGGTCTTGGTCAACCTGGAGTAAAGTTTATAATCATGGTTTCTTTCCTAAAGGAAATCATGACTGACCTTTTTCTTTTGATTGAGTATGCCATTCATTAACATACTGAAAGAGAGAAAGAAATGGAAAAGCAATTAACTTTATTTATGCAGGCACAAGATCAACAATACCATTGTCTTTGGCCCACCTCTTTTCAGAAAGAAACTATTAGGGGCTCTTATGTATATTGAGGAAAAAAAAAAAAAAGATAGAATCAAGGGGAAGGATTATTTTAGAGTGCCTTTTAGTTTAGACATGTATATGATTATTAAAAGTATGTGATTCCCTTTCTGATCTGTAGGGAAGCAAGCAAACAAATGACAACCAGTTGCCTAGTGATGCTGCCAATGACCTTGAGCATGGTGATGGTGTAGAGGTGATGGTTTTTCATGTCATTCATGTTTCTTACTTGATAGTTGGCACTTTTTCTTTTCTTTTTCTATCAATTATGGTTGGTTTTTTCTGAAAATTTCAGGCAGCCAATATTGGATTTTTTAGGGTGTTTTCACTGGTTAGTAAGGCTTTGTATCTCATTACTTCTGAAGTTGGAATAGCGTTGCTGAAATGCACACTAAGTTGGAAATGTTTACAATTTGCAGGCAAAGCCTGATGCAGGGAAGCTAATTGTTGGCACCATTGCACTGTTGATAGCATCCACATCAAGTATCATGATTGTATGTTGTTTCCTCTGTTGGTGAAATTTCACTTATTCTGTTTCTTATTTTCCCTCTTCTCCTTTGGTTATTATATATAAGACGAGATGTTTTGCAGCCTAAATATGGTGGAATGATAATAGACATAGTATCAAGAGAAATAAGGACACCTGAAGAGCAATCAAAAGCTTTGCAAGCCATCAGGGACACTGTAACATATATCTTCATGATTGTTATAGTGGGGTATTCTCTTCTTTTGATTCTTTTAGTATTGTTTTCTCATGTTTGATGCATATTGTTCCTTAAATTATGTATCTGTTGATTTTCTTACTTGTATCTTGTTTAACTGTTTGGTGTTTCTCTTCAGACTTTTGATGGTAACAAAATGCTTCTATCTGGTTTTCTATAAGATGTGAAAAGAACATAATATTTTTACTTATAGCTCATAAATGCATGTTACTTCATGCTTCTGCAGGAGAAGTTTCTGAACGTTATGTTGTTTTGGCATGTTTGGTAATTTTTTCATGCAACCAACTTGTAGGCTGAAATATAATGAAAAATATAACACAAATATTCCTGACCTGTCTTAGAACTGTTGTTATGTTATCAGAATTCTTTCATTTGATCTGGGAGAGCAACATTTAAATGCTTTTAACAATTCCAGTTGCATTCATGCTTCTAGATTGCCCAACATCTGGAGGGCTAGGAAGAACTAGGTTACTTAACTTCTGAAATGGACTGAATTCCAAAATATATGACTCTGAAAACAACAGAACAAAAAGAGGGGGAGGGAGATTAGAAGGTCCCATAAATCTTAGGACAAAAACAGGCTACTTAAGACTGAACACAGTAACACATGCATTCAAATTTTTCGATAAAGGCCTCTGTTCACAGCACTTCGACCATGGTTATTAAGATTGAGTTTGATATCGTTCGTACTTTGTTTCTTTTTTTCTGCATATAGGTCCCTGTGCACAGCACTTCGAGGATGGTTGTTTGCCTCTGCCAGTGAAAGGGTTGTAGCTCGTTTGAGGAAAAGCTTGTTCAGTCACCTTATCAATCAGGTCTGGTCAAAACAAAAAATAACTGCAAGGTTTACCCAATATTAGTATTGTGTTGGGTTTAAAATCTATGGTCTTGCTTTGCTTGAATCCTCATTGCTATGAGATTCAAGCATCACCATGTTACATGGTGTGAGGGAGAAAGGGTGTCATTTAGGATAACACTTCCCAAGTAATTCTGCCTTTCTTTTTATTATTTTTTGCACAGAATCCCATAACTTATTGTTGATACCAAAATGGTTCTGCAGGAAATAGCTTTCTTTGATGTTACTAGAACAGGTGAACTACTCAGCAGGCTATCTGAGGACACCCAGATCATAAAAAATGCTGCAACAACCAATCTTTCTGAGGCGCTTCGGAATATAACAACTGCATTCATTGGCATTGGGTTCATGTTTTCATCATCGTGGAAATTGACACGTATGTGATTTTGTTCATTTCTTCTTCCCGCAACCCCCCTCCCACTGGAGTAATGGTGTAGGATAAAAGGAGTAATGGTGTAGGATAAAAGGAGTAATGGGTTCATGTTTTCATCATCAGTGTTAGCTTTAGCAGTAGTGCCAGTTATCTCAGTAGCTGTACGAAAATTTGGGCGCTATCTTAAAGAACTTTCACACAAAACTCAAGCTGCAGCTGCAGTGGCTGCTTCGATTGCTGAGGTTTGTCTGCAACATTCATATGTTTCTCCGCGGGATAATAAGCCCAATGAAAGAAATTATGCAACTGTCACTCTTACACCATATTATTTGAAGCATGCTAAGAGGACTGCAGTAGTAGTTAGGCTTTATGGATGATTTTAATATTCAAGAGGATGTATGAAGAGCTCATAATACTGCAACTTAGATAAGTAAACAAATGTTTTCCACTGCCATATCTTATAGTTTTATGTTAGTGTGAGGTAACAAGAGTTAGCACATTTCAGTTTCAGATTTTAAGATCGAGGAAGATGATGAGAACATGATAACCTTCCACCACTGACTTAAAAAAGAGAAGAATGCCGTTAACATGCACAAAATTGAAAACTAAAATGCTGCTCGTTGGTTACACTTTGGATCTCAGGCAGTAGTGAGCTGTTCTGCATGGGTTCCTTTCCTTACATTTATCTTGTACTATTTTCATTTTATGCTCTACAGAATAGTAGTGCAACTCTGTAAGATTTGTCCATCAATATTTCCAACACATGCTTTTCATAATTGTTATTTTTGTTTAGGAATCTTTTGGCGCCATTCGAACTGTTAGATCGTTTGCTCAAGAAAGTTATGCCATATCAAGTTACTCTGAAAAAGTTGAGGAAACACTAAAGCTTGGACTCAGACAAGCTGTGAGTTTCTTCATGTCAAGCTCTTACTCTCTCTCACACATACACACTGGTATGGAAGTAAAACATGCATTATTTTGAGAAGGTACCTAAATTCATAAGTTCTGTTGTTTTCTGCCACAGAAAGTTGTTGGTCTATTCTTTGGAGGGGTCAATGCGGCATCCACATTGTCTGTTATTATTGTGGTGATTTATGGAGCATATTTGACAATAACAGGATCCCTGACTGCTGGATCACTTACATCTTTCATTCTCTATAGTCTTACTGGTACTCTCTCTGTTAACTGCTTCTAACATGAACATCTATGAGTGAACTCTTGTTGCTTTCCTCTTCTGTCATTTTTAATTCTGCTATCAGCAAAGTCAAAGCAGAGCACCAAGACTTTTCAGAATTTTAACTAAAAATTTAGAAATCTTTTGGTCAAACGTGTCAAAAGTGGTCAACACAAATAAAAATGGCAAGTCTTTACAAGGATGATAAACCTTGAGCCTTTGAGGATTTACCATAAGCCAAAGCCTCATTAAAAAGCAACTGTTGAATGGTTATTTGTGTTCTGCATGACTTTTCATTGTTATTCTAGTTCTGATAATCTGATGATCAAGTCACCTAATGTGATGGCTTTTGTTTTGTGATAATTGACATTCTAAGCCTATGCAATCTTGTACTTTCTAAATGTACTGTTTCTATGATAGATAATTATTCCTAAAGTTTCAAGTTGATCTCGCTTCCTGCAGTTGGGTCCTCAGTCTCCTCTTTATCAGGATTATATACAACTACTATGAAAGCTGCAGGGGCAAGTAGGAGAGTTTTCCAGCTCTTGGATCGAGTCTCAAGCATGCCAAGATCAGGTGACAAGTGCCCTGTGGTGTAAGTTCTCATCTACATTTTTCTTAAATTTGAAATGTGATAGTTTAGTCTTATGCCAGCCAGTAGCATGCGCACCAAATGGTACATCAAAATCATTAAAAAACATTTTATTGAGAAGTATACACCACCCTGTATTTTCATTCTTATTGACACATTTACATTCAGTTGATGATATCATGTCTTCAATGGCAGTGACCCAGATGGGGATGTAGAACTGGATGATGTCTGGTTTGCCTACCCTTCTCGCCCAAGTCACATGGTACTTAAGGTAATAATCCTTCTCTTTTGTATTGTCAATCTAATTATAATGAGTGTTTAAAATGAGTATATATTCTCCTCTACTAAACTAATTCATGTTTTCCTTGTGACTAATAATGTCTGTTCATATTATTACAACAATGAATTGGTTTACTTCGTCTTCCCTTTCGGGCTCCATGCATCACTAAACTATAAAAGGATCAAGAATCAGATATTGAAACATAGAATTTTGTAGCTTAGCTTGGCTATGTCCTTTTCTCCAAGTTGTCAAGAAATTGAAACTTTACCTGTTAAATGGAAAAGCTCAGCCTGAGAATCATAAATATACCTATGAATAAATTAACTATTGGAAGAATATCCACTTATGAGAGTTTATTGCTCTATCGGCAGCAGTAAGTGAAGTCATTATGAGATGGAATCTTGTAACCATCGCTTCCTTTGGTGTTCATTTTACAAATTTCAGGGCATAACACTAAAACTGAAGCCTGGATCAAAAGTTGCCCTTGTTGGACCAAGTGGTGGTGGAAAGGTAAGACCCTTCACATCCTTTACCTCCTTTTCCCTTAATGTCATATTGCCCATCTTGGATGAAGAAGCAAAGCTAACTTCCCAATCTATTGCAGACCACAATAGCAAACTTGATTGAGAGGTTCTATGATCCTCTCAAGGGAAAAATTTTGCTCAATGGCATTCCTTTGATAGAAATATCACATGAATATCTTCACAAAAAGGTAATATCTTTTTCACTGGATATTTTCTTTTTCCCCCGATTATGTGGCTAGCCCTCATTCAATCTCGTCAAGTTGAATGAGTGAGCAGGCAACCATTCCAGGGGTCTTCATCGCCACTTTGTTATGGCCCATAATGATGTTATCTAAGCTTGCATTTTACTTGTATCATTCCTTCCTATAGATTTCTTCAACATCATAAATTCCTTTACTTCCGGAATATAGGTCAGTATAGTCAGTCAGGAGCCTGTTCTTTTCAATTGTTCCATAGAGGAGAATATTGCCTATGGGTTAAATGGCAAAGCCAGCATTGCTGATATAGAAGCCATGGCTGTAAGTTGTAATAATTATCAAATGCATTCCTTCTCGTTAACCAATACAAGTTGTTTGAAAAATTTCCAGTTCTTCTATACATATAAGCTGATAAAGTGATAAATGCTTGCAGAGGATGGCTAATGCCCATGAATTCATAGAAAGATTTCCTGAAAAGTATAAAACAGTTGTTGGCGAACGTGGGTTGAGGCTTTCGGGAGGCCAGAAACAGAGAATAGCAATAGCAAGGGCACTGTTAATGAATCCAAAAGTTTTGCTTTTGGATGAAGCAACTAGTGCTCTGGATGCTGAGAGTGAATACCTAGTTCAGGTAAGATTGGCCCTGAGAATGTGTTATAGATTTGCTTTTCTTCCTCAATCTTAGAGCCAAGCCTCTTGCCAAGCTGCTGGTCTGAAGCACTTGTTTCCTTCTGACCATTTTATGTTCATTTTTTACCCCAAAATGTGATTGACTAATGATACTATGGATTTGATAGGATGCAATGGATTCATTGATGAGGGGCAGAACTGTTCTTGTTATAGCACACCGGCTTTCAACGGTCCAAAGCGCAGACAGTGTAGCAGTTGTATCCGATGGTCAGATAGCTGAAATTGGCACCCATGACGAGCTACTCTGCAAGGATGGCATCTACACTGCCCTTGTGAGGAGGCAACTACAAGGTTCAAACCATAAAATGTAATTCCAAAAATGTTGGACAACCAAATGTAAAATTTGTGTGGTTTTAATTTTCCAAATAAAATTCACTGCAGAATAACATTTTTATGCTTATTGTTAGGCACTAATCGTAGGGTCATGTATGCTTAATACAAGATAGCAATGTTTGAAGGAAGCGCCCTCAAGGAAGGTGCTGTTATCCCATCATCTCCAGATCTTTGGTGTGATTAATCACCTGTTAAATTGTGAGAACATTTATCACTAATTGTATGCTTGGTTTAAGAGGAGAAAAGGGAGGAGAATAGTCAAGATTCCTCAAGTTGGTTTATAAAAAATTTAAAAGACGAAGGGGAGTCCGCTTATTTTTTCCAAATGAGTCCCTCCCCTCCGCTTCCGCTTATCTCATAACATTTCAAGAGAACAGGTGAAGCAGCCTTCCCTCGTAATTTTGCTATGGCTCCTGCCCCAAATGATTCCTGTTAACCAGTAAAACGTAAGAATTGACAATGAGGAAGGTTGCATGCTACACCACAGACCACAAAGGAATTTGGGGCTTAAATTAAGAGAATTGTTTAGCACATGGCTACATGCTATCAAAACATTTATGGTTTTAACTTCCGATTCACTTGGTTTGGATTCAGAATAAAATAAATGAAACGGAAATGGCAAGTGCCACAAATCTGCTCCACATCATAATCTGACTTATCTCCAAATAAAACAGAACTCGTACAAAAATGGGTGAGAAAGATGTAGCTACAAAAATAACTGTTTAACGAATCATCAACCCTTGCATTGCCTGCGAGCCATCTTCAGTTATCTTGTTAGCTTGGATGGTGCTGATGACATTGGCAACATTACTCTGGAAATCAAAAATGGGCAGAAAAACATTTACTAAAGAGCAGAAGGATACTTTAAGATCAAATAGCAATCATATAGTCTGAAAACATAATACCATTTTAAACCAAAGTACAACATATTATTCACGTTCCATTTTCAGTAACCAATATTTACCAAAGACATAACAGATCAATTGCCAGGTATAACTCTCTCAATTATTTAAAAATAGAAAAAAAAGAAAAAGGGGGTCAGATGACAGTGAAGAAGTTATATATATTCTTTCACGCAAGCTTCTTTAACATGAAAGGTGCAGGCAACATAAAAGAAAAGGGGCAGATGATCAAAATAAAAAAAAACAAAATAAATAAATAAAATAAATAAAAAAGAAAGAAAGAAAGAAAAGGGGCAGAATACAAAGCATTAACGGTGAAGTCTTTACCTTCCATGTTGCTAACTTTGCTCGAAGAGATTGCCACTGACTTTGTCCAAAGATGCGTTCAGTACAGCGGCTGCTCATGAAATGAAGATCAGATTCAGGTGAGGATCTAAATGTAAATATTACTAACTTTAGGGAACAACACAATACTGAAAACCCTAAAAACAAAAAGGATTTAATTACATAAGTGCACACATAGAGAAAGATAACCTATAGCTTACCTCACAATCACAACCTGATTCATTTGATCCATTTTGCAATCAATTAACTTAGCAGTTATTGCTTTAACAACCCACAATTCCACCTCATCATCATTAATCTGCAAGGACATAAACCAATATAACCAAGAAGGATCTTGGAGTAACTCAAGTAAAAATCAGTTCGATATGCAGGTTACCCGAAGAGTATCCTTTATGAGAGCATACGGAATTTGACCAGATTCATGAGAGCCAAGATCAACCAAGGACATCAATCTCATCTTTGTTATGCAATCTTCATGGACAAGACCTGCACCATTCCAATCAGCAGGGCATTTTTATCAAGACACAACAAAACAGTATTTGAAATTACCCAAAAAAAAAAAAGAAAAAAGGAAAGACAGAACAAAATGCAATTCATTACCATAGCCTTTCATTAAGGTAGAATTTGCAGCCTGGAATTCCAAGTAAGCATCCAGTCTCTGAGTCAGAAAGATCTTCAGAAGCTGATAGACTAAAGCATATTTGGCATCCTTCTCCAATTGCCCAACAGCAGGCATATCTAATAAATCACACTGCAAGAAACAACATAAATTAGATTCAACCAAGATTTTCCTAAACAAGACAATACTTTAAGGATGATAGGGAGGATCCACAACTTCCAGAGTTGAAAAAGAAAGAACTATAATTTGAAAAGACATCAGTGAGAAACAATATAAATTAGATTCAACCAAGCAAGCCTTTTGCTAAGCAAGACGATATTTTAAGGATGATAAGGATCCAAGATACACAGCTTCCAGAGTGAAAAAAGAAATAATTTGAAAAAAATGTCAGCAAGATAGCCAAATATGCAAAAAAGAAAGATAAACTGAAATCATCAATTAATATCATCCAAATTCATTACCTGAAATGTGTCTGGTGCCTTAACAAATTCTATCACTGCTTGCACTGCTTCCTCCTTAGCTTCACTCATGGCGTGTGAGTCCTCACCCGAGAAAGTTGCCAAATATTTGGTCAAGAATTTGAAAGAATCTTTCCCAGAGCTGGAATAACAGAAGGAAACAAAATAAAGTTGAAATGCACATAAATAGTTCATACATGTATATGCAAATAAAAATTTGTTGGGCTATCTTGTACCTTTTATTTTCTTTGAGTACATTAGCTATGGTTAGAAAGAGGTTCCTCTGATCCTTGACCCCAATATTCCACTCTTTCAAGAAACTATCAATCTTTTTGAAAGAAGGTATAACGTGTTCGGTAACTTTTCCATTCAATGCAAAATTTAGGGCTTGCATGTACACAAAGAACCGGCTGTCAGAGTTCTCCAGTACATTATAGAGATTAAACAAGCTGTAAAGAGAAACAGAGACACATAAGCCGGCAGGAAAAGTAGTACAAGCTATAGATTTACAGGTAGCCTGGAATGAATATTACATCTTTAGACGCAAAGCAGGCTTGTCATTTGGTTGTTGTGTAATTTTTGCAGATATAAGTTTTGTCATCTCAAGTGTGTCCTCTGGATTTTCCAGCTTTGTGACAAGATTGCAGATGATAGTGAAGATACACTCAAGTTCTGGAGACAACCCATAACAGAGAATTAAATTATTCATGTGAACACAATTGTTGTGATGCACATCAATAGAAAGCAAGAATCTGGATTAAACACTTAGAATTATCACTTCATGATGCCAGTAAAGAAGAAACCATACATTTAAATCCAGAGTAATCAAGCATGTATCAAATCCCACTATAACTAAGCATGTTCGTCCACAATAAAAGGTCATAACTTTTCTTAAAAGTGTGACCTTGCAGTCAAATATAAAGCCAGGAATGTACAAATTCAGAAGGGTACCTTTATCTGAGACCTTAGAAAACACCAAGTCAGCTGAAGTGAGCATTAACGAGGCCAAATCCAACCACTTTCCCATCACTATGCTTTCTTGAGCCTCCATACAAAGCCTCGTAACCTGGGGCTCCGCAACCTAAGAAACGAACAGAACGCACACAAAATCAAAATCGTATAAAAAATTCCTGATTCAGCTACAGACAGAATTAGACGCATCACAGTTATCTATAATTCAATCAGGATCGGAATTTTCGTGTCTTCATCTTTGATTCGAGTACCTCAGGGCCTGCATCCGCCCAAGCGAGCTCGGAAGCGAAGCGAACAACGAAGAGAGTGGGATCTTCCTCCGAGGTAGGAACGATAGTCGTCATCTTCGTTTCAATGAGTGGAGCTCTCTGCAACGGCGGAATTGAAGCCCTAGCTTCTTCTGGTTTGGGCAGCCGGGCAGAGAGTCTGTGGAGTAACGAAAAACCCTAGAAACCGAATCTTTATTCGACTCAATTCTATTTATAGGGCTTTAGACGGTTATTACCCTTTATAAATCCTTTATTATTTTACATTATTTCGTGGTTAATTAGTATTTTTTTTAATGTTTTAATCAATAATTTTATAGTTTGTTTGGTTAGGGTAAAAAGTAAAAAAAATTATTATAATTAATAAAATTATTTTATTAAATTAATAATTTAATTTATTTTAATTTATTTTAATTTAATAACACTTTTTTCTTATTTTCTTTTAAACTAAACAAGATCATTGCTAGTAACTTGTTTTATTTATATACTAGTAGCCTTTATATATTTATATATATACATATTATTAAACAATGTTGTTTTATGGTAGGAATTGCCCTTCAAAACATCAATTTAGCTTGAGAAAATACATAAATGCTGCTACTAAAAACATCTGTTCAATGTGAGAAAAGTTAATTATTGTAATATTCTGCATGCATAAAAAATTATGTATTTTATAATTTAAATTACACTAAACTATAAAATATTAATTATAAATTTTAAAAGGGCCTTGCTATTAGGGATAAAGCCCTCTATTCAATTGGAATGACGGGCCTTTAGCAATGCCACGTCAAAACACAACACTTTTTTCTAACCAGAGACTGATGTCTATAATTAGGTGGAATGTAAAAAGTATTTTTATTTAAAAAATTTTATTTTATAATTTAAATTATACCAAACTATAAAATAAAAATTATTAAATAAAAAAAACTTCTTAATATTAAAAAATTACTCTCATTCAATAATCAATATAATATAATTTAATATAATTCAAATTGTACTACACTTTTTTATATATAAAAGAACAAAATCAAGAGTTTAGCATAACCATGTGGAGTTTGCATTCAGTTTTTCTGAAGGGAAACCCAACTTCATTTCAAGGGATATGAGCGAAACAACACACCCCCACCCCCCTCCCCGAAAAAAAAAAAGGAGAAAAACAATTTGCTACAACCTTCCAAGACAGATTTATCTCATACGTGTTTCATGCGCAATTCCTGATATATTAATTTTAACTAGCATAAAATGAACATCTCATAATGGGTTTCAAAAGGAAAGAAAAAAAAAATATATGAACAAATTCATTCTCTGGTACGCGAGACCTAGGACATCTAAAGATCAGAATGTCACTGAAATTCCTCTTGAGTGGTCAAGTTGAAGGGCTTTTCTTTTACTTTTAGAGAGTAGCTTCTTTCAAGTTGAAGGGATCTTTGAAATCTCTACCAGTAATTTGTGTAGGGCTTGAGGTTTTGAGAAAAATGGTGAGTGATCTGCACCTTTTAGTCGGAACACCTTTTCTGGAGGGCTTGAATTTATCATGCTCTCCTGGAGTGTGATGGGTATGGCACTATCTTCCAGAGTTTCTATATAAAACCGCCTCACAGATCCATATTTCATATCAGAAAGGGAAAGCTTTTCTAAAACTGGTGCAAAAGGTGTTTGCCTCATTGAAACAGAAGCTAGTGCAACATCCTGCACCAGCGAGCAAAAAAGGAATCAGAAATGATAAATAATAGCTGCAATGATTCAGGAACGTTTGCATACAGAAAGGTAAAGCAAGTAACAAGTGCATTGATGTGCATGCAGATGACAGACAAGAGGGAGTGAAGCAAGGGAGTGAAGCAATATCAAATTTATTTAAGGAACCCAAAGGCTATTTGTCATGCTATTTTGACCATAAATCTTTTTGAACATCTGCTATACAGCTAGGAAAACCAAACTTAGCTGCTCTTTGAGTAATAATTAACAGAAACTTGAAGATGCATCCTTCATTGTTGAGTGAATCCAACACACAACCTTCTTAACCAGTCATTCTAGGTTGTCCAAAAATTACATGTTTCTTATATTTATATTCAGCAGTCAAGTTTCACATGCTTTAACCCTTTTCAACAGATATATATTTCACATCAAGTCCTTTATTTTCTCGAGAGAGATTTTCTGGTTCACTTTCAAGCCAAGGTCGACCAAGGTTTTAAATATAGACAAAGAAGTTATCAAAAAGCAGCATCAGTACATAATTATAGCCACTTAAACCATCTGATGGGAATGTATGATGATTGGATATTCAGAGAGCCACCAAAATATGAAATCCATTTTAGTATTATATGTGTTACAAGCAGACATGCAAATATAGGCTTATAATTATGTGGTTATGTTAAAATTTCTAAGTTATACCAAATGCACAGCATCTTCAGTTGCAAAATTATACAAGTTATTGTCCAGAAGGATTGCAAATTCAGATGTACCTTGGAAGGACTCTGATTGAATAACAAGTCTCTCAATAATGACTTGTCTAGTTCAATAGCAGTTGGTGGGTGATCATTCCCATTTGCATACAAAAATATTTGAGCCTGTCGCATTAGACCATTTGAGCCTTCCTGTAACAGTTCAAAACCGTTGATCAATTATACAAAATAAAAAACATAGGAAGTTAGATTTATTGTGTGTAGATTGAATCTAACTTTTTTTTTTGGTCAAAGTATAATATTATTATGTTTTGCACTTTCAGAGATACACAAACAGATAGTCTCTTGTAAATGAAAACTTTTTGAAATTCAAAAAAAATTGAATGAATGCAAACCTGCTGAGAGAACATATCCAGAGTACTTTGTCCATTAGTCACCATTGCTGCAGCAATAAATACAGCTTTGGCAATTTTAATAGGAAACAACTCCATTGCATATGATATGCACGTGCCACCAAAATCATGCCCAACCAAGATCACCTGCATAATTTCATTGATATAACAGCACATATTAGTTCTGTTTATCTGTGAACCCGAGAAAGTTTGCAAAGATATGACCGTAAAGGAAGTTGCTAAACTTGACAGCAGGAACACGCAACCATCCATTTAAAATTTTATCAAAAAAAAAAACAAATGAAATAAGAAAAAAGAAAGGTTGAAAATTTTAGTAAATAATGCCTGGAATATCGACTATTTCAGTGTTTGAAAGTATTGCAAACAGTATAGAGCAGTCAGCAGTAAGACATCTTCAACTAACTAGTCTGTACAATGAATACTGGCAGTCTGATGTCTCACCATGGTCATGCTGATCAAGCAGTGTGTAAGAAAGACAAAATAAGAAAACAGACTGAGGAAGAAATAGAAAAGAACCTTCTCTCCATTGGCAAGTTTTTCGAGAAAATCAGTTAATGGCTTGACATACTGTGAAAGACTGGTTATTTCATTTGTATCAAAAGAATGAATCCCAGAACCAGTTAAGTCGATTGCAGTAACTTTGAAACCACCTTCTTCTAGAAGTGCAATTGTTTTATACCAACACCAAGCACCAAATCCTCCTCCATGGACAAGGACAAAATGGTCTGTCTCCAAGTCATCATGCTTTATCTCCTAGGAAAGAGAGAAAAAAGAGAAGGGTTAAAAAGGGATGGATAAAATGACTTGATAAACCTTACAAGCAAAGTTTCTATATGGAATTACAAGTAGACCTGATAGCACCAGCAAACACGAGCAGCTAAATTTAAGCAGATTTTTCCCCTCAATTTTAAGAAGCTTCAAAATTGGAAATATACAATTCAAAATTTTGACAACTAGTAGAATGTGCGTTGTGATTTAAATTTAATCTTAAAACTAGTATAACTCTTGAGAACTACAAACAGAAAATATCCATGAAGGCTGAAGTCTTAAAGACATAAAGTAATATAATTCTGCTTCCTCTACTGAAATTGGAGTCCTACAATTATTCTCCAAAAAAGATGTTAAATGCAACTCTCTTTTTTTTAACAGAAAATGCAAGACTCAATAGATCCTGATGCCTAAGCATGTGTTAGGATCTTTTCAAGTCTCAAACAAGAAGAATTGTGAGAACATGTTTCCATCAACAAAAGTAAAATAAAACAAACAACCAACATGCATCTATCAAAACAAAATACATAATAAACAGAATGGTGAGAATTTGATATTCTGGTTTCTTCCAGTTGAGATAACTTTCTCAGTTCTAAAATACTTGAAGATATTCCACTCTATACCACAAAACAGGATATTGCTATAGTGAGGCAAAAGTAGAATAAAGAATCACTTGGACATATCAGCAAATTAATGATCTCCAACAAACCTCCATCACTAGCAATATTGAAATATGTGGAAGTTGCAAACTTTTAGGGAAGCCATGCGTATAATTGCATAAAGGCATAATCCTCCAATCCAATGTTTTCCTTCAGAAATTCTGAAGGCTTAAAGCAGGGGATGAAATGAAAAGAATATAACAGAACCATACATCATATATATCTTTCCTAAATTTATCACAGGATATAATTATGAAAGAACACAAAACATAAATACAATAACATCAAAATAAAGAAGTATAACCAACCAAAGAGCAAAACTTAGACCAACCAACCATCACTTTTCCTGACATCAAATTCCAATTCCTCAAATACCATAATCTAAACATCAAACCAACGTGATCTCATCCGTTTAAAAACCAGCAGATATCTAACAAAAAGAAAAAGAAAAAGAAAAAATCTCAAGCAGAAACTAGACATGTTACCTAAACACTCCAAATTCAGTCCTTAATCATCTTTGCCCCAACAGCTAACCTAAAATCTGTTACCAATCAATGTTCCCATTCTTAATGGAGGCAAAATTACCAATCCCTCAAACCCAAAACCTGATTAAGATAAATGGTTACTGAAACAATGACCAAAAACCCACCTTTCAACAGAAAGTAGAAACCATATACTAAGTTTAAGCAATTTACCAAAAAAGTTTAAAAATTCACTTAAAAGGATAACATGAATTCATAAACATAAGGTATATATATAAACCCATTCATAATTATAAACCAACATAAATAAATTAGGTACCTGATTAACAAGCTGTTGAGGCTGCAAGAGAGGGTCAGTCAAGGACCTGGCTCTCGAACTGGAGCTCCGAGGCAACTGACCCGCCCTCTTGGACCCAGAAGAAGTCGGGTACCGTAGCGAAGTGGACCGGTCAAATGGCAACGACACACTACCATTCTGCTGGTGTTGCCTGAAAAGAATCGCGGCAGCTAGGGCCTGCTCTTGAAGCATAGAATCATCGAACTTGTTCCGCGATGTTCGGATCCGATTCCAGCTCTTGCTGGAGTTCGGACCCTGTTGAACGTTCGAAGAACGCCTAGATGACCTTAGCTTTGCCGCTACCGGTTTTTTCTCGAAGCAGGCGCAGAGATTACCCATTACTGCTGCTACTGCATGAAGGGAAGAAAAAACACCGAAAATGAAAGAAAAGATTGGTTTTTTTAGTTTATATACAGAGATGGGTAATTGTGTATGTGGGCATACGCGTCGTGCGTATAGGTGTAAGCATAGCTTTTGGTAGAAAGAGTTCCGGAGACGGCTGAAGGCTGGGCACAGGAAGGTGGATGACGGCTGAAGGACGGTGCGAGCAGAAGTTATTTATAATATAATGCTGCGTGACAATAATAGCCTTGCTTATTATTTCCGTTTTACTGATCTTCTAGAAGGATTATTATTATTATTTTCTGCGAATCTTTGCATATTTAATTTTAATTAATTTACAACTAAATTACATAAAAAAAATTCTAACATTTATTTTTTATTTATAAAATTAAAATTTAAAATTTTATTTAAAGAGGGTTAAATTTCATTCGCTCAAATTAACATGTTATTAATTTTAAAAGAATTATAGCTATACTACTCAAATTGAATTTTTTTATACAAAAATATAAATTACATTGTAATTTGTAAATATATAAAAATCGAGAATCCTATACTCATAATATTATAAAAAATTATAAATTTATAATTATAATATAATAT